GGCGCTGTCCTTGCTCCCTGCAGTGACACGGGGCGGAGACGTGGTGCAGGGCCGCGGTCCTTACGAAACAGAGAGCAGGCTGCCCTCTGGAACCCGCTCAGTGCGCACGTCCTTGAGCGAGCCGGGCCCTGGGCATTAGAGAAACGGCTCCTAATAAGAAACCAAAAAACGCTCGTTTAAAAGGGAAAGCCAACGTGGTATGTCATGCACTCTTAGGAGTGACTTTCTGTAAAGAGAAGGTCAGTTCTCAAAGGCAACTTATGAAACCACTAGAGGAAGAACAGAAAGGAGGCCCTGGTGGCTCAGTGGTTAGAGGGTCGTCCTGACACCCCAAGGCTGCAGGCTCCATCCCCGGTCAGGGCACACAACAGAACCAACCGATGAATGCACACGTGAGCGGGACAACAAATCAATGTCTGTCTCTCTCTCTCTCTCTCTCTCTCTCCCCCCCTCCACTCTCTCTCTAAAAAGTCAATAAATGAAAAATTTTAACAAGAAACATATAAAGAATAGCAATGATCTGATAATGATGAACACGCATACTACAGTTAGACCACCCTTTCGATGGCAGGGCCAAGCAAGGCCAATTTTTTGAACCTTAAAAGCACAGGGACAGCCAAGCTGCCCAGAGGTCCGAGAAGCTCAGAGGGCCGTGCCCAGGGCACCGTGCCCTGACATGGGGATTCCCGAATTCCCTGGGGAAGTCGGATGAGATGGCTCTGGGGCCGGGATGTTTGCGGATGCAGGAAGGAAGTTCTTCTAACCAAACGCTCAGTGTTAAAGTGTCTGCAAGCAGGGGCATCCCGTTGGAGATTCACAGGAGTCACGGCTGGCAGGGCCCCTGGAAATCAGTCCAACCCTCTCCTTTCCCAGCAGGCAACACAGCCCCAGAGATGGCTCAAGGCCTCACCGTGACCGAGAGGACCCGAGGAATGCAGGAGAGAGGATGGAAGTCAGGCCTGTGTGCCACCCACGTCTCTCCAGCCCCACCCTTAGGCCCCACCCTACACCCGCTTGTCCCAATTAAGCAGAGAGCTGCCTAAGTAAGCAAGAGCAAATGCATCCTGGAAAAAACCGTCCAGCACTTTCTTCGTCCTGGACACCACATGTCCTGCTCAGACAGCCGGCCCCAGCGCTCAGCACCACCTCCTGGGCTTCCCCACAAGGGCCCGCACGGCCCGCACAGCCTTCCCGGGTCCCCAGGACACACACCCTCCCTTCGCGCTCGGTTCCGGTTCCCACGAGAACCAGGAGTGCTGACTGTGCCAGCAGATTCCTCCTCGGGCCTTGACGCTCACAAGGAGCCCGGGCAGTAAACGCAGCTGGTTTTGCTTGAAATGCAGAATTTCTGCTAATCAGCTTACGGTTTGTTTGGCCACATGGATGATTCTTCTGTGTTACATAATCTGTCGCCGTAATGTGCTTTACTGTAGGTCGTCTGTGTGTGTCTCCTGGTGCCCGTGACCGTGGGGTGAGTGGGTGTCGTTTAGCTGTGGGACGTTGCCAGGGCTGCCGCTGTTTAGAATGGGGATCGGGACCCCCCAGCATCCTCCCATCTAAGGGCCCGTCAGTCAGCCAGTCGGATTCAGCGTGTGGACCGCATCTCTGTTCCTGAGCTGTGGGCTGTTGCTTTACCCGTAGGATTGCTTTATGTGAATCAAACTAATATCAGGAGGGAGAGTACCTGCCTGCTAACCAAATCCCCGTGACACAAAAACTAAAACAAAGTCACTGCAATAGGATATGCTTCCCAACGTAACCCACCGGTGTAAACAGCATCCTTGTAGAGACACAATTTTAACATGCAAAGACTGTCTTGTTCCGTTTTGGCACAGAAACATCCAACTGCATTTTTTTTTTTCAGCGCTGTGCACAGGCAGTGGCTTACCTTCCAGCATCTTCTGCAGACTGTTCCTCATGACGTGGATGTTCTCTATCCCGATGAACTGGAACTTGATGTTGGAATAATTGTCTTCATTCTCGTAGCCTTTCCCGGCAGCGCGGTTTGCCATGGCGTTAAGCTGCAGCGGTCGGCAACACAGAACAGTCACCCGTAATACCCAGGACAGGAACCGCCAGAGCGTGTCATGGCTCTCCCGGGCAACATTCACAATGAGGTGCGGAGACAGGACAGGGTTTACATCACGGGAACACTGTACTGAGCTGTGTAGTTTCAGACACGCATGCTGAGCTTGTTCCTGACAACATACATGTGTCAACATGGGGAACATTTTCTGAGCTGGGAAGAAGCGTTCTACGGATACACATTCTATGGATAAACTGCCTCTCGCAGTTCCCTGCCCCGATCTAACCCCAAACATTATCACCTGTGACTGGTAGGGGAGTCCCGGCAGACACGGATGTCAGTGTGAGGCCCTGCGGGTTAAATGATTACATCCTCCAGCCTCACGCTGCCAGCAAGCACACCATCAAATAGGAACGGCTGCATTGTTCTAATTCGCCCACAAGAATCCCCCAGACGGCCAGTTAAACCTCGAGCAGGAACCACTGAGTGCAACGAAGAGAGGGCGTGCAGACGCTGTCTGCAGAGGCATGTCCTCCGGCCACCTGACTGCAACCTGGGGGCCTGTTAAAGGGCTGTGACCACTTTTATGACCATAATTCTGTATCTGAGAAGTGAGGATTTCCCAGTGCAAACAGTGTAATGATCATGGACTTTCAGGAGTAACTAAAGTCAAGAAGGGGACAGGTCTTGCCTGAGCTTGGAAATACGCGGATTTCTAGAATACCTGCAGTCTGACTGAGTAATCCCATCCTAGAAAACATATTCCCTGGCCATTGTCTTCCTCTGCCCAGAGGACAGGGGCTGTCCCAGGCAAGGAACTGACACCAGGGACTCACCACCAGAAACAATATCCATTTTTAGGACCACAAAGCTATACTGAGAGGATATTAATACATACTTTTCAAAAAGCTAAGTTTAAAAAGCCAAGTCATATTCTTTGACCGAGGTCTCCTGTTTACGAGAATCTGACACAATTAAAAGTATCAGCACATAAAGATGCATGTCCAAGAATATTTATTGCAACTTTTTATATAATAACAAAAAGCTGAAAATCTATGAATATCTCAATAGGACAATGACAACTAACAGTACTAAGAGAAACATAGGTTATCTATCTATCTATCTATCTACCTACGTATCTATCATCTATCAACAGAGACAGACAGACAGACTTGGAATTGGCCCATGACATGTTAACATGTTAAGTGAAAAGAGTAAACTACAAAATAATACTCTACAATTATCCCATCTTTTGAAAAATAAACCAACCTACAGAGAAGTGTTAATGTTTATGCAGGTTTGAGTCAGCAGAATTAAAGTGTATGAAAGACTGTATCCAATTGGGCAAAAGTTACAGCAGAAAGATAGAGGTGGCAAGTGACGGGGGCCTGCCCCACCGGTCCCTCCCCACATCGTCTCCAGGATCGTCTTTCTATGTGGACTAAATTATATTAAATTTCAACCTATAGTGAAATAATAGTCCTGAAAATAATTTCTTGTTTCAGAGAAGAAAAAAAAATCAATACCTCAGAGGCTCCTGTTACTAAGAAGCTATATTAGGTTCGTAATTTAAATAACAGAAGTCAAGCGTTTAGAAGTGAAACATAAACCCGTGGCAGAACGTCCCCTTTCCACAGTGGCCCTGCTCCGTGATGTAGCTCATGTGAGTGACACCAGCTGGGCCATGTCAGCCCCTCAGCCCCCTCTTCCAATGCACTAAAGGTTGTCCCCTTTCTCCTAGGCATGCTATAGGAATACAGGGTTTGGCCTTAATCAAGAAAAAAAAATTAGAATAATGTTATTTTTAAGACTACGTACGTTCATGCTTTAAAATGTTTAAGTATTTTAAGGGGGGAGTTTCTTCGTATAATTATTTTCCAAAGCCACTGGCTTGTTCTTTACAGCGAGCCTCATGAAATAAAACAACTCCCAGGGTCATGTGAGCATCCTCCTGCTACCTGAACCCTAGGGCTATTCCCTATCTGGAATAATTCAGGTTAAGCCTGCTCACCTCATGCCACAGAGGTACACTCTGTAAACAGTACAAGGAATAAACCCCAAATACTATTATAGTTATTATTATGATAACCTGTAGTTAGGAGTCTGCTCACATTTTACGTAGTTGATCACCTATAACCTGGGAGAATTTACCGGTAGGTAGCCTTCTTTTAGAAGCGAAGAAGCAACAGGAGATGGCCTCTCGAAAGTCAATGGTGCTTCTCACAGTGAACAGAAGGTGGCGCTATTTAGCCTCCCATCCAAAGTGAACTTTCTCAAGGTTTCTACATATTTCATAGGACCTAATAAGATAATGTGGCAACAGCTGAACCCTCAAAGCAGGAAATACAGTTAATGGACCAATTATACATATAATTATGTAATTATATATTATATATAGTCAGATAAAATGTCCCTTATATAACAAAACACTGTTATAAAATGTCCCTTCTATAACAAAACACTGTTAGTAAATCTAATTTGGTCTCCCATCCCTTTGGGTGAAAACTTCATTTCACATCCCTCCCTCTCTCTCTCTCCCGCCTCTTCCTCCTCCTCTCCCTCCCTTTCACTCACTCCAAAATTCAATGGAAAAAATATCCTCTGGTGAGGATTTTTAAAAAAACACAACAAAAAAAACACAAAGGAAAACCTACTTATTTCAGCTCCTAAAAATTCCCAAGTAGATAAAACAATGAAGGTAACTACATTCCAGTTTCAATTTATGCTTGAGAAACACAGTGGACAAATGAAAAGTGGAACTGGAGAAAGGTACCCTGTTCCTAACCTAAGATCACCCGGCTGTTTGATAATCTCAGCATCTTTACATTCAGAAAAGCTCCTAAATGAAACAAAAGGAACCTACTCATTCCTCAACAAGCACTTAATGAACACCTGCTGTGTGCCAGGCAATGAGCACAGTAAGAAGATGAGCAAGAAGCTGTTCTACCGCCATAAGCTCATCGCTGAGTGGAAGGGAAAGCTCAGAGCACCACACAGCAGGGCTGGGCAGGGGCTGAGGGACTGGCGGCAGTGGCGGCAGCAGGAGCTCGAATCGGGAGCCGCCCCACGTGGCCTATGGGATCAGGGGGAATGTGCCATGAGACGGACGGTAATAATCTGGAAGGATGGAGAGAAAGGGATGGGCATTCCAGACAAAACACGAGGATGACAGGAGGTGGGGAGTCAAAACCAAAGGAGCAGGTGGGTATTGTGAGCCAACCCGTGGCAGCGAGGTGGGAGGTGCAGGTACGGCGGCAACAGCAAGGGAAGAAGCTGGAAAATCTTTGGAGAGCCTTCCAAACAGGCCCGATGACGATGCCCAGCCTTTACCTGTGGCCCTGGAGAGCAACGGAGGGCTTCTAAGCGGGTTTAATTGAAAACTCTGCGCGTTCGTGTCCATGACGCCAAGACCCACTGGAATGGGGTGGAGGGCACGAGCTCCGGGAGCTGGTGGCCTGTCCATGTCCTCCCCCGGCACAGGGCAGGCACTCAGTGAAGAGCTAAGGACTGGCTCACCCCCCAAATAAATATCAACAGTGGAATGACCCCGGCAGGTGAACAGTCTAAACATGTAAAGAAAGAACCCGATTTGTCCCCTAATCTTCAACCAGCCTATCCAACACACCAAAACCATAAAAGCTTTGTCAACGAGCGTCCTGCTATCAAGTTAAAGGTCAGCCTGGTCACTGTCTTCGTCTCGGAGTCTCAGGTTTCAGCTGAGCACATTCGACACCTGAATCCTAACAGGAGCTGGTCCTCCGTGGTTGGGAATGGAGAACAGACGCTGACCTTGTCAGGAGGGCTGGGCCACGTCCCCGCACAGGCTGTCAGGGGATTGTCCTTTTCTCCCCCTCCCTCCGTAACCGCGGAGGTGAAGAGCCGTACATTGTGCCATAGACATGAAAACACGGGATGATTTTACCTCTTGCCACTACCGTCCGCAACTGCGCTAGTGGAAATCCTCCCTTCTCACCCCTGAGGACAGCCCGAATTACACTCAGACAGGAAACCTCCGTCCAACTCAACCGAAAACTCCCATCCCATACGTGATGCACAATGATCTTCCCCTCATTACAGGCCATTTGGACGGGGGAGGGTGTGTTCCCTGGTGCACCCCCCGCCTTTTCTTCTTTCTTGTACAGCTCGGCCTGTGTCTGGGGAAAGGGGCATTGTGGAGGAGTGATAAGAGGTAAGCATCCTATATAATAAAAGCCTACTGTGCTAAGTGTCCAGTCGTCCAGTCAGCCATTCAACCAATCAAAGTGTAATATGCTAATGATATGCTAAGGCCACTCAACCGCTTGTTATGATGTGCACTGACCACCAGGGGGCAGACAGTGGACTGGTCAACCAGTTTCTATGATGTGCACTGACCACCAGAGGGCAGATGCTCTGACTGGTAGGTTATCTTGCTTCGG